TTTAAAAGGGAAACTTCAGCTTTCTATTTGTGCTGGAAAAATTAAAAAAAAAAAAAAAAAAAAAGTCTTTCATCATTAAAAGGCCAGGATTTTTCTGCTGACTTTAGGAAAAGAAATATACATCCTTTCAATTAGGGTGAATTACAAAAGGATATAAACTTGGCTTTTTACTTACTTCTGGCAAATAAGAAGTCCTCCAGGCCTTATTTAAATACCTTTTTCTGTTTTCCAGAATCAGAAATGGAAGCCTTTTTTTCTCCTCTCTTGCTCAGGGCCTTCCCTAAACTGCAGCTAAATGAACCCAACCAGTCAGGTCACACGGAACGTTCCTCCCACAGCTACAGAGTTGTGGTGCATCAAGCAAGCTAGAAGCCAGGGAGAGACTGAACACTCAAGCATGACAGCATCCTTCTAAGGACCTCAGTACCCACCTCTCCTTTCCTAAAAGTTTAATCCTGTCCTTTCCTAAAAAATGTAATCTTGTATGAAGTATCTGGCATAAAATTTGTAAAATTTACAATGTTATAATAAGTTATACAAGTTATTTATCCATGTAATCTGAGTCTGAAGAGATCCAACCCGAAGCCACAGCATCTAACGTAAGAATTCACAAACTGAATTAAAACCAGAGGACAGCTGCCTATCCTTACAAAACACATCACGAGCGCTATTTGGGTCCTGTACACCGAATGGTGAAGATTTGTCATTTAGTCCTAACAACTGGCAAAGTCCACGCCTGCCAGTCTCTATCGGCAACTGTATTTTAGCATTTGATTCAAAGACACAAAGTGCAAAAAGGGAAAACCTTAAAAGGTTGAACTACTTTATAAATCCTCAAGCTGTTGAAATTCCAGCATCTCCTTACTCTTTGTAGCACAAGACTGCTTTACAGCAGCCCCTTTCATGACACCAAGGTTTTCATCTACTACACAATCTGCACATCCCGAATCAGATTAAGAGGAGGAGGAATGCTCTGAAGAGTAGTGCTAAATAAACATCAAGCACAGCAGTTGTAATAGTCCATGCTACTTCTTTAAAAAGCTTCCCATTAAAGAAGATAAGATGGGACCTCAGAGCCTTCAGATAATGGTTAGCCTTCAAGTTTAAGGCCTTTTGCCTAGTGAGAGACTTTAAGGGGGAGATGTTCAAATAATATGGGCCTGCAAATAAGGAGCCAAAAATTAATAAAAAAAATGCAATTCTGATCTGCTTTGTGGTCACTGATGAAAACAGAAGGTGGATCTGAAGCCTTCATACAAGAACAAGGATGGATTAAAGGCAGAGGATAATGATGGTAATTTTATTAGGGAAATAAATCAGAATAGCTTCTGGGCAAGGCAGGGGTGAATTTCTTGCAACAGGCTTTTTAATGACTCTTCTCTTAAATTAAATTGAATGACTAAAGATCACAGTGAGTCAATCTCCTTTAAGAACAGAGACATGTAAACTGCTTCCACGGTACGCTGTGGGTTAAAATGTTCTGGTCTTTCACCCATTTGAGGAAATGACACCAGTTCTCCCGGAAGGCAACATGCACATTCAACCCCTTCACATCAGGGCATGAGAAAGTTTGGAAGGAATTTCTTTTATTTTTTTATTTTTTTTTTTAACTGTCAACATTAATACTTTGTTTCTTCCTGCTTGTGTCTGAAAATACAGCGCTGCACTGCGCTGCATGCATGTCCTGTCAGCTGTACAGAGAAACATCTAGAAGTTTTTTAAAAAAATACCTACTAAGCATTAATTAAATCTGTTGTCAGACTTATTTAAAAAACCCTCTGCACGCTCAAAACAAAATTAATATTGTAAGCAATGTATGCTACATAGCGACAAAAGCACACAGAAGCTTCTTCAGAAGGGATGCTGTGCCCAATAAAATACCTGCATTACACATATGTAAGCTCAGTCCTACTCAGTAAAGCAGTTAAGTTTAATTGGGTTTCTCCTTAAATGACATTTATATGGCAGGGAAACAGAATAGATGGTGGAAAACAGTGAGTCCACAAACACGGTACAGCCCAACTATCTTGAAGTGGGGTAGAGAAGGAAACGTAGAGGTGTATGGTATACAGCAATGGCTCCCGACTAACGTGGTGGAATAATTCAAGTTGTTAGGTGCTCCCGGAAATTAAACAGTTTCAGTAATCCTGTTAAGAGGTTTCTCGTTCTGGGCTGTGCAGAGTAGGAAGGGGTTCGGGCTATGACATGGAGTGACTGCTGAATTGCCCATGAAGCCCAGAAAATTAAATTAACAAACTCCTAGATCCAGACAATTAGGACCTGAATCTCTCACCATGGTGTAAGACTCCTGATAGCTCACACACTGGGAACAGAACATATTTTCATACCTAATTTGTACCCACAAAGGTAATACTGATGGCCTGCTTATTACAATTGCTTTCAAATTTTAATTTAATTGACAAGACGGTTTAGGAACAAAAGCAGAAGTCATGGTATCTCACTGAGCTACGCTCCAGGTAACATACCCTGGTACATCTTTCCCAAAGGATCCCAAATGTTTCTTTGAATTTGAATCATGTTATACAAGACCTGCAGCGGTGCCAAAGCCACATTTCTAGCATGGTAACTACACGGCTGAAAAGAGAAGCCATATATATCTTTACAACGGAAGGAGAGAGCAGAGGGTGACTTATGTTCCCCAGCTGTGCCTCTTACATCACTATAAACATTACCATTTAAGTATAGGAAGAAGAGTGACATAACCACAAAATATATTAATCCCCCTTAAGAACAACTGACAAAATGTGACTGCCATTACAT